GAGCTGACATGTGAATTTCATATTATTTTCATGTGTCACAAAACATTTTATTTTTGTTTATATCACTTAAGAATGTAGAAACCACTCGTACCTGCAGGACTATAAGGAACAGGTGACAGGTTGTATTTCCATGTGACCCTGGTCTTTTCCTCTGCTACTTACTCTAGAAGTTGGAATGAAGAGCTGAATAGTACTTACTGGAAAAAGGTTCTACAGGATCAACTAGCTGACTGCTCTCTTTTCTTGCCTCCATTTTTAACTTAGAAATAATCTGAAATTAGGGGCCCCTGGGTGGCTTAGTCAGTTATGGTCTGCCTTCAGCTCAAGTCATGACCCCAGGTCCTGGGATCGAGCCCCACATAGGCCTCCCTCCTTCTCCCTCTGCCTGCCTCACCCCCTGTTTGTGTGCTCTATGTTGAATAAATGAAATCTTAAAAACAAAAACAAAGCCTGAAATTAGAAGTGCTGAGCTAGCAAAGACCAGGGAATCCACTTGCTAACATCTAATGCTAACAGTGCAGACTGATAAAAAGTTATTCACTTCCTTAAATAATTAAAGTCCTCTCATTATAGAGAAATGACTTATCAATTTTAGTTGAAATACAGTTCTACATCTTCCCGCCATCCCTGACTCAAAAGTTGTTGCCTAAAAGAATACCATGCAACAGAAGCAGTGAAGTATTGGTTTCTATTTATAAGAATGGGACAGGGGAGGGGCTACAAAAAAGATTGACAATACTGGATTGATTGATTGATTGATTGATTGATTTTAAAGATTTTACTTATTTATTCATGAGAAACAGAGAGGCAGAGACACAGGCAGAGGGAGAAGCAGGCTCCCTGCAAGGAGCCCGATATGGGACTTGATCCCAGACCCAGGGGTTCACACCCTGAGCCTAAGGCAGATGCTCAACCACTGAGCCACTCTGACATCCCAATAGTACTGGGTTTTAAAAAGCGGAGAAAAAATATGTACTTTTGGTGGCTATGTAAATTAGTGCAATCCTTCTGGAGGTCTGTTAGCAAAATTCACCAGAGATTAAAATGTATATAACTTTTGACTTAACAATTATACTTCCAGAAACTTATCTTAAGATAACAGACAAGTGAGCATACATGTATATACAGCAAGTTTCATACTTGGAAGAACTGTTAATATCATGAAAAGATTAAAACTATTTAAATATCCAACCTGCTAAACAATGGAAGGATGGGATGAATTCTAGGTGGCCATAAGAAATAATGATGCAGATGAAACTATTTGACATGGATATGTCCACAGCATATTGAAGAGAAAAACACGTCACAAAACCGCACGTGCTGTTTGATCTCAATTGCATGAAATGTCTATATATGGTGTTTGTATATGCACCAGTGTACATGAGAGACAGAAGAAAAACAGAGACAGAGAAGCAGACACTTAGAGGAATGTTCACCAAAATATTCACAAATGATTTTTACTTTGTTGTTTATAGTTTTTGGTATTATATACATTGCATTACAATGAGCATGTATTACTTTTATAATTTAAAAAAGGCTTATTAGGAATGCCTGGGTGGCTCAAGTAGTTGCGTGTCTGCCTTTGGCTGGGGGCGTGATCCCGGGGTCCTGGGCTCCCAGAGGGGGAGAAGCAGGCTCTCCTGTGTCTCCGCCTTGCTCTGTCTCTCATGAATAAATAAAAAAAAATCTTTGAAAAAAAAAAACTTATTAGAATTTACACCAAGCCCTAATGAAAACTATGAACTTTAAGTGATAACGATGCATGAGTGCAGGTTCATCGAGTATCTAACAAATGTACCGCTTGCTGCGATGGGGGGAGATGGCAGTGTACAGAACTCTCTGTACTTTCTGCTCGATTTTGCTGTGAACCTAAAACTGCTCTAAATAAAGTCTTTAAAAAAAGTTTATTAGAACAATTCACAGGCAAACAACTCAGAAGTTCATCTCATGGGAAGCGATCTGAGACCCATGGAAGTGAATCTGAAAGGCTTTTGTCAGAAGCAGTATTAGAATACTGCAGATGGCTCAGTGTGGGGGGCGGGTGGGGGGGCTAGTCACAGCAAGTATCACACCAAGTTCAGCAGTTAAGCTGGCTAGCAAGCAATTCCTCCCCAGAAGCAGCTCAAAGAATGCTCTCCTCTTAGGAGAACCTGACAGTTCTGTGCATTCACCCTGAGGATACTTGACTGTTTCTCTCCTGTTGTTTCTGATTTAATAGAATGTTTTCAGTGAAAGCTTAGAGGACTTAAGACTGTGTTAGATAATCAAGGGCTCAAGAAAAGCAATTTAACACTTTGTCTTAGATTAGCTTTAAAATGGAGTTCTAGCTGGGGCAAGAGACCAGGCTGCTAAAAGATAAGCTGGTCTTAAGGGGCTTTAATGGAAGAACAAATGCCAAGATGAGATTTTAATGATAAGCAGTTTCTGTTATGTTAATAAGAGGCATTCTGATGCAAGTCTGAAGGTAAGACTAAGGTTGGAATAAATTAATGGGGATATACTAAGTTTTATTTGGTGTTTCTTTTTCTTTATAAGAAATATATACATTAAAATTGATGCTTCCTATACTTTGCCTCATGTATACTTCTACATATATGTCAGATATATCTACTTTTATTTTAACAGAGCAAAAAGCGTACAGGTTTCTCTAAAGTATACATACCTTGTAATCGCAGCTATCTGAATGACATCCAGTTGGTTTTTTTTTTTTTTTAATTTTTTTTTTGTTTTATTTATTTATGATAGGCACACAGTGAGAGAGAGAGAGGCAGAGACACAGGGAGAGGGAGAAGCAGGCTCCATACACCGGGAGCCCGACGTGGGACTCGATCCCGGGTCTCCAGGATCGCGCCCTGGGCCAAAGGCAGGCGCCAAACCGCTGCGCCACCCAGGGATCCCTCCAGTTGGTTTTTTAATGACAAGAAGGAAAGGCTAGCGTTGACAAGAACTCAATCTTTAAATGTAATAAGAAATGGCCATGTCATAAGATTCACAAACTGTGGTAGTACACAAGTAGAAGTACCTTAAGTTAACAATGCAATATTAACACATTTATAAGTAGAAGTCAAATCCCTAATAGGTCATGGCTCCAAATTACAATTTTCACCACGCTGACTATTAACTCATACTACATATGAATTTCAACACAAATGAAGCTTAATTTACAAAAGACACTATTAATAATTTACATTCTATGCCCAAAAATATCCAATTGTTACATTGGGTAAAATAGGTATGATAAACTTAGGTGTAATATTAATGACATTTGGTCAAGTTTAGCATTATACACACAGAACTAGACAATGCATTTCCTGGTTTCCAGATATTAGCCTCACTGAGATTAGCATTAACTTGATAGAACATATTTGTTAGTTTCCCTTGAGAAATTTCTAAAATTAAAACTGCCATTTATTTTCGGGCATAGTTTTGTGGTCAAGACATTTTTAATCATTCAGGCATTAGCTTGAATAATTAGTATCATTTTTTGGCTGGGCAGTTCTACAAATATAGCACTCTTTTACTTCAGAAGCAGTGAAACAGCATAATGTGATTATTCTCATGTTAAATCCTCATTTCCTAAGGCCCCCTGGATTAACCCGCATCAGATTTATTATAAGGGATTCACAACAAAGAAACTCAAAATTACTGGAAGGAACTGTAGGAATCTTCAAGTTAAGAAACATTGCTTGTCTCACTGAAAACAACAGCAAAATACCTCAGATCTACAAATGTCACAGAATTCCTTGATGCAAAGTATCCAGACATTTCCTAGGCATATTTTATTTTTAGGCCTCTGGATGTTTACGTGTAAAACAGCTGTGAGTCAATATAAGACCATCTGATAGAAATGCTTTTCTAACCACTGAAAAACTTCACTTGTTTTGATAAAGAGTCACACCAACTGAGATCCTATCAGAATGTGAAGAGCTTCCCCAGAGCACCTGATCTGAACTAAATTCCACATAAATGCTGAATTTGCATGCAACTTTCCAGGAAACAGTAACAATCTACTTTATCCTCATGGTTATCTTAATAAGGTATTTTTTTATTAACCCCATTTTTAAATTGAGAGCTTTGGGGCCCACAGGTTAAGAACCCAGAGAGTCACAAAGCTGAAGGCTTGATTTGAGGCCAGCCAATCCAATGAAACATTTTTAAATGCCTCACTGTCAGGCAGCTGACACGGGTTCTGGTTCTGCATCAATACCACTCTCAACATAAGAGGAACACTTTACCTCCATTCTTGACAACTTCACCTCTGTAAGCAATATGCTAATGCTCTGCATGGTCCTCTAGGACCATTGTGAGAACATGAAATAAACAAAATTAAAGCCCTGTGAGAAGTCCAAAGAGCTATATAAATGTGCCATGTGCTAAATATATCCAACTCTGAATATTCCAGCAACCAGAGATTATTTTCTAAAACACAGAGAAGACCCTAACACTGTTTTATTTGTGGCTACCTCAGAGTGTCTTTTATGTTATCTATCTGGAAGCCTGCAATGTGACACACCAAAGTCTCCACTGTAATGTAAAACACCCTGAACAGGTAATAGAAAAAGTGGATTTGACATTTATTGTTGAACACAGACAAGCAGCTTCAAAATACAAATGTGAACAGCACTCTGTGTCCAAAGAAACACATTTTCTCTTTAATAAAAATATTCTTGAGGGATGCCTAGGTGGCTCAGTGGGTTGAGCATCCATGGTTATAGCTCAGGTCATGATCTCAGGGTGGTGGGACAGAGCCCCAGTCAGCCCCCAGCTCAGTGGGGAATCTGCTTCCCTTCTCCCTCTCCTTCTTCCCCTCCCCACTCCCTCTGTCCTTCCCCCACTCATGCACTCTCTCCCAAAAATAGAGGTCTTTAAAAAATATATATTCTTGATTTTAAAGAACATTAAGATGACTTTTTAACTTCAAAATATCAAATCCTGAGAGAATAGAATGATTTCCAAGAAGACGTACAGAATACTGGTAAAGAACCAGAATTCTTTCTTACCTCCCACATGTACACATTATTCTTAACCTGAGATCTTTTTTTCTTATCACCAACAAATGGCCCAAACTTTTTGCCTTTTAAAATTGGTTTAGTGGCCCAGACACCTAGAAAATGAAACAAATATTTTTATCATGTTATTGTGGTTATTTTAAAAACTGAAGTATTACAGTCAATTCTGTTTCACAAAATAGTTAGAAGGCTAACAAGATAATGTTAAATCAATGGAGAGCAAGTGAAGTCAAATGAAATTAAGTCTTCCACAAAGATTTTTCTTTTTCTTCTTTATATTCTTCTGTATTTCCCAAATAGCCTGTAGAGAACCTACATTGTTTGAGAAGTAGGAAAGAATGTTTTATATTTGTTTCTATTTTTAACAAGTAAAATTACTCAGACGGTCCAATCACAAATACCTGGAGAACAGAACACCACAATCACAACAACTAAGGGGAAAAAAACCATGAGAAAGGAATGAAACTAGAAATAATTATTTAGACTCCTTTCTACTCTTCTGTAGATTTCATACAGTCTCTACTGCACATGAATTGCTTTTAGAAAGGCTTGGAATGCTGTTTTATGGATAAATATTTTTGAAGTCTGTTTGCTCAAAATGGAACACACTATCCTCTGCCATCTCCAGCTAAGTCTCCTGAAAACTTAGCTGCTATAACAACTCACTTTGCCGAGCTTCAAACAGCCCAGAGCTACACCTGCCGCTACTCCGTCATATTCCTGGTGTGTTCTGTGCATGGACCAGAAGGCAGGCAGACAGGCTGAAGAAGCTTCAGGCAAAATGGCAGAAGACAGGCCTGGAGTCAAAGCAACCAGCGCCGAAGAGGTGACACTCACTGACGACAGCCCTCTGGACAAGTTCCCTCATCTGCTCTCAGAGAATGCACAGAAGGAAGGTAGAGGCCTAGCCAGTCTTGCCCAGATAGGAGGCTCAAATTTCACTCTTCTGTAGGTCTACAAATCCAATTTGATAACAGAGCTAACAATCAGTTAGTGGAGCTATACAACCTACCACTTTCGTGTGAATGATACAATATAAGTACCTACTGAAGTCCATCATGTGTCAGGTACTGCAGACATAACGATAGGCAAGAAACGATGGCACTCACAATCAATGAAAAGGGCAGATGTGAAAACAAATACAAAATAATGAAATCAAATATAATAACATACTCACATTCAAGTTCCACTGGAATCAGAGAGGAGGGAACAAATACACTCAGTAGAAAGAAAAGGCCCAAGGAACAGTGGGAGGGAACATTTGGCTAAGTCACAAAGGATGGTGGATGGGTGTGTGGATATTTCTGGTTTAGTTTTATAATCTATGTCTACCCTGGATTCTTGACTGGAGAAGGCAGCGATACCACATAATCCTTTAAGTCTAAATGTAAATCTGTTTCTTTTATGATGAGCTCCCTACCTTAAATGCTCTCAAAGGATGCCTGGATACAGGCGGTTCTCCCCCCAGCCCCCACCACCCTCTGTGACCCTGGTCCTCACCAATCCGAGTCTTGTCAACAGCAGATGGGAAAAGCCTCACTTCCTCCGGAAGTCCTCGGAGCACATGTTCAGGTACCTCAGCCAGGCTCTCAGCAGCTGCAACAGGCTCAGTGTTCTGCAAGTCAAGAAACAGAAGGATCAGAGCGGAGGGAAGCAAACCCAGTCAGCTTTTTTTCTTTTCTGGTCCAATAAGCAAATATGCAAAAATGTAACTGAAATCTGAAGCTGGCAAGCCAAAGCAAGGGGACCATGCTGGGAGCATTTCAGGAGCTGCTCTCTCTGATGGCTGTTCGTGAGTCTCTAAAGGAAACTACTGCAACCTTCAAGCATGTCTGTGTTAATCTATTTTGTTCCAGCCACCTGTAGTCATTTTCAAAATATGTAAATATCTGGCACCATAATGTTTTTACTCCCACAGAAGCTGGAAGTAAACACCTTACTTTTAAATCAAAGGCTACCATCAGCATTTTAGAACATTTAAAAAATAAAAATCAACACTCTCTACTTTAAAGAATACTTTCGGCACACACTATAAAGGACCTGCCAGCCAGCCAGACCCCACCTCATCTATGCTTTCATCCCTCCAGCAACAATAACCCCCTTGAATATTCCAACAGGAACACTACAACTTTTTCTGGGCCCTCAATGGAAATGTGACCTTTCCAGGAAACAGTAATTTCCCACTTATATCAAGTCACTAAATTAACAAAGTCACCAGAATATCACAGTCTTAAGAGATAGAGAATATTATACAATTACCGACCAAAATTCACTTTAATCTTAAGAAATAAGATTACTATTAAGTATGAATATAAGGGAACAGAAAGGGGAAATCTGAGCCAACTGGTAAAACAAAACTGTTATTTTAAAAACAACATTCAAACAAATAACATTCAATGCATAACATTCAATCAAGGAAAACCAAATGTCTTTTAACTGCTACCCCATGGGCCCCAAAGAACCAGTGCATATCACACCACCAGTAAGAATGATGGGTTCTATAGTCTAGGTTTGTTGTTTTTTTTTTTTTTCACTCCAAGGGAAACATTTCTCAAGGACTTTCAAAGAAGCCAAAGTAGGCAAAAAGCAAACTCCAACCTAAAGAGCTTAATTTTTCCACAATGAAGCTCTTACAGCTTTTAAGAATGTTTTGTGCAAAGATGAGAATATCATCCAAATTTGTGTGCTCCCAACATGTCGAGTTTTTTTTTTAAAGTATCAATAGGCTGCTTCAAGAGAAATAAATCCCACAGCAATGAGCAATTCATTATGAAGGTGTACTCTGGTCTGCTCTGAGTTGGAATGCACACAAGTGGGTATCAACAGCCTGAGAGTCATTTCTCCAACAAGGCAAAGCTGACAGTGTAGACACTTCAGAAGCACAAATGCTTTGATCCTGCTGGATCTGGATCTACAGCTTGGTCCTGACAATATCACCAAACACAAGTTAAATGCCTTGCAAAACATGGGAATATCAAAACTGCTCCAGAAAATGGGCCTTATGGTATTTTTTTAAAAGATTTTATTTATTTATTTATTTATTATCATGAGAGAGGGGGGGGGGGCAGAGACACAGGCAGAGGGAGAAGCAGGCTCCACGCAGGGAGCCCGACGTGGGACTCGATCCCGGGTCTTCAGGATCACACCCTGGGCGAAAGGCGGCGCTAAACCGCTGAGCCACCCGGGCTGCCCCTTATGGTATTTTTAATTAGCTAAAATGTGAATAAATTTAGGACACAAACTTCTCACTTTTAAATATAGTACCCCCATTTTTAAATGTTTAATTGATTAACAGTTATTTTGGAAGCATAATTTTTTTTTTCCAATGGAGGAAAAGGTGTGAAATTGGTCGTCAGTATCCTAGGCTACATAATAATTATTTTTAATACTGATAAATTAAGCAAAATTAAGAAGAGTCTCAGCCAAAGCTCCAAGTCCTATCAGCACATGCCTATTTAGCAGAGTGAGAGTTTTCCTCTTCTTCTCAGGTGGGACCCTGACCTAAAATTTAAAAGGATTTGACACAATTTAACCTCCCCAAGAACTTGGAAAAGACAGTGTGCCAGCTACTCTAACTGATACTTCCAGGCACTATGACAGTAATACTAACAAGCTAATATTTCCTGAGAAACTCCTGGGGGCTTCAGTGCAAAGTGCTGCACTAAGAGTCTTCTATGCATGACAGCATTTACTCCAAACAGCTCAAGGGACAAGGACCGACACTGCTTCTTCCATCCCTGCCTCCACTTTCTCCCCCAACTCTCATCCCCAAAATACACAGAGTGGAAGAAACTGAGGCTTAGGAAAGTCGTCTAAGTTGCCTAAGGCCAGGATTTGAACCTCTGTCTGATCCTGAGCCCAAGTTCATAACCACTGTGCTATTTCCAGTTAAGATTCTCCTGGATATGGTCGGAGGACCTAATGTAAAACATGGCTAACTATAGTTGATAGCACTGTATTACAGAACTGAAATTTGCAGAGAGTAGAACTTCAATGTTCTCACCAAAAAAAAAAAAAAAAGGAAAAAGGTAAATATGAGAGAGATGGATGTGTTAATAAACTAGATGGTTAACAGATCTCAAAATACCACAATGTATACTTTAAATATCTTACAATTTGCCAATCATACCTCAATAAAGCAGGAAAAAAAAAAGAAAAGAAGATTCTGCTGGAATATAATTTGAGAACCTGTGCCCTAAAACTTTCAAACTTCCATGGAAGGGTCAGCAGGAAATGGCTCCTAAGGCAGGAATGGTCATTCCCATAGGAAATTTCTAACTTAGTGTAATACGAAATCATGTATGTTAACATTTTGCTACACATGTAAATATAAAACACCTCAATAGAGCTCCCACAGGAAAAAAGATAAGACAAATTCCTATGCATTTATTTACCTGCCTTTCAGTGAGTCCATGTTTTTAAATTTGGGCTCATTTAACTAGGGGAGGAAACCTTTTTTTGTTTATTTTAGTATCCTTCACACAACAAGACTCAACTAAATTCAAGGACCCCAAACACAGCAAGCCAACCCTGGCCAACTCTAGGAACTTCCTCTCCCCTTCCCAGCTGCAAGGCTCTGGCTGGAAATTGCCTCTCCCTTTCCTTATTTTTCCTTCATAGCCCTTACCACAATTTTAAGTAATTATTTGTATAATTATGGGTTTAATGTAGCTCCCCTGATAAACGATAATGAAGACAGATGGTGTCTATCTTACTCAGTGTTGCATTCCCAATGCTTAGCAGTAGACGTGACATGTTTGTTGTCACTTGAATACTTGAATGAGTAAATAATTCTTATAAACAGAACTGAACCTTTTTTGGGGGGAAAAGGAGGGCTAGAAATAAATAAAATAACAGAGTCACCAATCAGAAAGCATTTTCCTGTGTGCCTGAATTTCTTGAATTTGAGGTAGGTATATTTCTGAGTCAAGAGAAGAATTCTTTTTTAGAAAATGTGATATATGTTCTCAATTCTAAGTAGCCAATTTACAAGTAAACCTTTGGAACAAAAGAATATTTAAAAACAATTTCTCTCCCCTACATAAACTGGGATCTCATTTTTATATACCTGTGTGTGTGTGTGTGTGTGTGTGTGTGTGTGTGTGATATCCTTAAGGCATTAGATACAATATAATACTCTAAACAAGGTCATCCTGGTTCTTACACTAAAGATCACAATTTGATCCTCAGAGTATTTCCCAGATTAATTTTCTAAAAGAAAGTGCGGCATCTACTCAGTTCCTGAATCCCTTCTATTGAGCCAGGCAACATGCTAAGCATCTCATTTGCCTTAACAACGTGTCACTCTAGCGAGGAAGACAGGTAAAATCAAGCAAGGATATACACCGCCTAGTACTTACTGATGCTTGAGGAAAAACCAAGCACAAGAAAGGACACGGTGACAGAGATGGGTAGCGTGCTTTTTGGACAGAAGCACTTCAAGAAGACCTCCCCAGAAGTGGGAAGGGCACCGTGTGACCGTACAGGGGGCAAACATGCCCAGAAAGGTAATCAGCAAGGATGCTGGTAATCCAGCAAGCTTGGTATGCTCAGAGAACAGGCAGGCAAAAAGACCAATGTGTCAGGAGCAGAGAAGGTGAGGGAAAAGCAGCTAGAGCTGAAGTGGCAGAGGCAGGCAGGGGTGGTGCCTTAGGAGAAATGATCACCCACTGAACTGCAGAGACTATCAGGAGTAGAGGCCAAACTACAAGCTCCAGGAAGGAACCTTGGCTGCTCCTTTCTCTGGAGTGGCCTACAGACCCCCCACCACCCTATCCTGGCTGCCCCAGAATAAAGGCACGTTCCCATTTCAAGGGTTTCTGACTTGAATCACATGATGAGCACAGAGGACGTTACAAGGTCTTCTCTACTTTCCTATTATGTAACAGGAAACCTAAGAACTGGTTATTTCACTCCTTAGTGTAGTACAGCCTCCAAACATGTATCAGTGAGCTGAGCTGGAGCAGTATATGTTAAATTCAATGCATTAAACTTAAGCTAATTTAATAAGTTACTCAGTTATTAACTATCAATTGATCTCATTAAATCAAGGTCTCCAACTTCCTAACTCAAACTCAGAGAAAGTCAGCATCCCCTCCCCTCCTCAACTCATGGCCAGGAGCAGTTCTCCTTCATTCTTTCAGTCTACCATTTGATCACTAACACTTCCTGAGAACCTGTTCCAGGATGGCACTGCGCTGCGCAGTGAAGATATGACGGTTAATAGAGCTGATCCAGGCCCCCTCATCACAAAGCTCTTTTAGAGGAACTGTTCTTTCCTTTCCCTACTACCAAATACCTTCCCTTTGGCCCATGATGACCTCTTCATGCTGGATGGCAGGGGAGCTTCAGGAGTAGGACCTTTACTCCTTCCTCTGCGCCAAGCTCTGGGCTGACCATTTTTCCTCTATTACTTCACAACAATCACGGCTAACGTTGATGGATACTCAGGACACAACTCAGACACTCTTCCCAGCTCTTTTTACACCTCATCTCATTTAATCTTTGTACCACCATTCCAGTGGCGGTGCTTTCACTTTCCAGATGAAACTGAAACTTGCCCACAGTCGCAGCTAGCGAGTGTCAGAGCTAGGATTCAAACTCAGACAGTCAGGC